GTTTTTCCGCTGATTTTTTATTTTTTATTTATTTTTTTTTAATTTGGAGTTGGCTTTCTCCCCTTGTCGGGGCGAGGACTTCGTGGGCCTCAACGCTGGAGGATTTTGATGGACTTTGTCAAGGGACCAAAGGGAACAGATAGCAAATAGTTATGATAAAAGTTAAAGAAAAAAAGAATACATTCAGGCCTTTCTTCATTCTTTAACTGGAAATCAGGAAAGAGAAACATGGAAATGTGAGGGACTGCATTTGCCCCGGGCCTCCCCCCCTCCCATCAGTTTTGGAGGCAATTCTAAAAGTGTAATTTAGACGCTGGTGTGAACATGAGCATCGAGCTGATGTTTCTGAGATGCGCCTCTCCCTGCCTGTAACCCTCCCTTCAGAAGGTGTAACCGTAGGGAGGCACCTGGCGCTTCCCCGCGGGGTGTCTGTGGCTGTTCAGCAAGGACGTAGCCAGCAGTGCCCGGGTTCGGTGGTGGTGAATCCTCCGTTTTCTCTTCGGTCATCGGAGAAAATGACTTTGCTGTTTTCCTTCTTTGTTTTTGAGACTTGGATAAGAAGTGTGGTACTGTAACATGAGAAGCGTGTCAAAGTAAGGAAATAAGTTGACACGTGATAAACTGCCCAGCAATGCCTATAGTTTGGTATGAGATGCCCAAAATGAGTTGAAGCTTTTGCAGTCTGGTTTACCTTAGAGTTTTCAGCGTATTAGTAAGTAAGATTTTCATTCTAAAACTGACCTTTAATGCTTTTTTTCTTCTTGGAGGGATACGCTATAAAAGATAAAACTACTAGCTGCGTGCACCACAGAAAATGACGCTGTTATATTACCGACGTCCTTTCAGACATTCCTGTTGCTATCAGGACATCAATCACAGCCTTCAAAACAGTCAATTCCTGATGGCGGTTAGTTATAAATACTTCCATTTTGTCTTTTTTTTAAGAAGTAACTTTTTTTCCTAGCATTGAAGGTAATTTCACAGTCCAGACAATTGCTGGCTGTTTTGGTCATAAACTAAATTCTGTTCTCTGAACACATCCCATTCCACTGTAAATTACCTGAGTAAATGACTTGACCTAAACAGTGCAAGAAATTGGATAGACTTGCGTCATCAAGTACAAGAATACCTTCCAAGGATTTTATTCTGCAGTATATGATAAATGATGGGAGAAATTCGCATTTTACTTAGAGTGTTTGCTTGTGCAAACTAAGAAAAGTTGTTACTGCCTCCACAAAAAATGCAAAAGCAATTTTGGACACAATGGGGCAAATTAAGACTGTGAAAATAGTTGCTCACAATTACAGCATACCTTCTTAGTTCCTAATTGACAGCAAGGAGATGATAAGTGCAAATCTGTAAAATCTTTTCCAGATTAATAACTTTTAGGTTGTGTAGGGGATGTAATGAACTTGGCTTTAGTATCAGTAACCCATTGCAAATTCGTACCTGACACTTCTTGCCAAGCTTGGTGCATATGCAGTGGAAAGGAGTAGCGGAGGATGTGAGACCATGAAAGTCGATGGCAGTCATTAAGTAGGTTTTATTCTTTATTAAACAAGATCTCTTAACGTTCTCTGGGGAACGCTGAAAATCACTGTGCACCCGTCATGGTGCCTGTGTCACTCGTATCAGTGTGTGCATAACCTTCAATGCATGACTTTGCCTATCTGACACTCACAATCTAAATATAAATGTGACTGTCATAACCACCTCAAACTCCAGTAGCCAAATCCTTGCTGCAGTCCATAGATGGAGTGGGTATTGACTTGGGGGAGTCCTTGCAGAAATTCTGGAAGAAATCCACTTCTCTGCAAAGCACATTTTTCTATGAAGGAAAAAAAATGGCATGTACTGTTACAGGTTGACTGGGTCTCTGCTACCTTGCATCCTCTGCTAAATGGCCACTGTGCTTTGGCACAGAGCAAGGCCTGCTAGATCATGGCTCCGCTGTGAAAAGCCCACCACGCTGCCTGCCAGTGGTGACGCACCTTGCATTTCTATCACCCTTCCTTCTCTGCACGTGTGTTTGGGCACCTCAGATCTCTGCAGGCCTTTGTTGATTTGGACTGAGATGGTAGGTTTTGTCAGGGAATATGAGTAATGGAGCACTCATAAAAAATGAATTAATGTACAGAATATGACACTAAAGCCTTTCTAGCGATACATACTAATAAGGAATTCTTTTTTTTTTCACTGTCTTCCATTTCTCAAGCAGATGGAAAAATTGTTCAGACAGTGAGAGCAGAGGGAGGCAAGAGGTGCCTGATCCACTGATTGAATGATAAAGATGAACTGAAAATTACATACTATTTGATTGGCCTTTGGAAGGGGGTCAGAGATGTGATAAAGCCTTAAAAGAGCACAAAACATTCTACAGGCTGAGTGACATTAAAGATTCCAAGAAGATTTTTTGTCAGTTAGTACTTGGTTCACATAAAGGCAGAAGATGTAATATTATCATTGTGGTTAATCTGAATGCTTTTTAAAACTACAGGCTTGCTTCTGGAAAAACACCTGAATGTTTTGGCACCAGGAGGTGCTGGTTCATTATGATTCCAGTAAGAAAAGCACTCAGACTCTGTAAAGTATCACTTAAAATGATGTTTATTGGAACTAACACTACAACAAAAAAGAGGATAGTATGGATAATCTCACATCCCTCCAGGTGCTGGGAGCCCCGAGTTGTGCAGCACTGGATGGGTCTCCAACGAGGCACACCATACAGATCCCGTCGGTGGAAAGGTTACCCGGTGCTGTGATCCTTTGAGCTCTTAACAGGATTTTCTTACAAGAAAACATTTCTATTAATCATTTCTACTGTCAAACAAAAAGGATGTTCACATGAGAACTCGTTGCTGCACTCTCAGATAAAGGCAAGGCCACGCAGGTGGTGTAATCACCAGTACTGAGTGGGAGCTGACGACAGGCTCTTTGATTGCAGTTAGCTGGCTAAGTTCATCCTGTGGCCAAGGAATGCGTGCGGCACAGCACGGCCTGGACGCCAGGCTGTATGTGCAGCACTGTACAGCACAGCACAGGCTTGGGCCAACCCAGGTCAGCTGTTTTGTGGATCACTAACTCCTCGATGTACAATGATCTTCCGGTCAGGATGACTAACTTCCACCCCTTGATCCACATACAGTTGACCTTTCCTACAGATATTGTAAGTTGCAGATTATACCAGTAAGTTTTTTGGCTACTAGAAAGATTATTTTACAAAAAACAATTACTAAAATAATACAAGAGTAATAAAACATTATCGTGACACATCATTGATTGTGAGAATAAGTGTAGGATAGCAGTCACCTTGGAGCTAGGACCATCAGAGATGTCCTGCCATCAGGTTCCACCCCTAGTCCCATGTACCCTAGGTCATGGTGGTGCAAATTTCACCAAACAGTCCGGTTATGCGATGTAGTAGATGAAGAGGAGCTTTGGTGCTGCTGGAGGGCAGACACGTCCAGCACTTCTTGTTCACTGATATACAGCATGCAGAGATCAAAAGCAATACTGTGAGGCTCCACGTAGTAGTTCTGCGTGAGATAAAACAAAGACCTTTTTTACATACAACGTAAGTTCAGACATGTAATGAGGGATGTCTGCTTGCTCCTTTAGGATTAAGTATGTGGCTCCTGGTCCATGTGTCCCATCTGCAGGGATGAGTTTCCCTTGAAGAGTCTGGTGTTTGCACTTGCCTCTGACTCTCAAGGGGTCACTGAGCTCTGCCAACATCCCAGACTGTACCTCATAGTGCTGATGTCCCAGCAGAAGACGCTAGGATAGGAGGTACGGCCTTGGAAGCATGCTTTACTATTCAAATTCTTTACAACCTGTAATAGCACTGTTGGCCAGTTACAGAGAGTGTGAGAGTGGAGCTGTGCATGCATCTGCTTTTTTAATAAGGCATTGGTCTGTTCCATTAGATCAGCTCCTCTGGGGTGATAGGTGTATGATATACCCTGTGTCCTTCGTGCTCGGCCGCCCACTGTTGGACCATTTGACCTCTAAAATGAGACCCATTGTCCGACTGGATGCAGGCAGGTGGGCCTATCCACTGGCTAAGTAACCACAGGCCTTTCAGCGTTCCTCTCTGGTCGGCATGTGCAGCTGGGGACACGGCAACGTAGCTGGTATATGTATCTACCATCACCAGTATGTTCTGTAATCCCTGCGTTTTTAGTAAGGGTCCAATATAATCTGTTTGGCCGGTATGACCAATAACAGGGCCTCACTGAATCTGCTCGTAAGGCTACTGAGGTAACTTTTTAGCTTTCAGTATTGCACAAACAGCACACTGCCACATTTACATGTGCATCAACACCAAGGTGTCTGGACTTCTCATGTGCCTGCTGAGCAAGGGTTTCCTCATCAGGAAATGAGTACCGGGAGACAGAGCATCAGGAGATAAAGTAACAATCCTAATTTGAGCTGACAGGTCTGCTGTGGCATTGTGTTCCCTCTCTTCCCCAACACCTTGGGTGACGTAAGCATCAACTTGTCAAACCCACAGGTTTGAATTCCTGTATTTTTTTTGCCTTCTGCTTCCCTAAGTCCTGACTCCATAATGGTTTCCCGTGTTCGGTCCAGTTGTCCGCTTGTCACTTACTAACCCCTATGGCTCATCCCTTATACACTGCCCATCACTCTGCACTTGTATTGCCTCCCCTTCCCTCTTTGCTACAAACTCCAAGGTGCTATATCATCACCTGATACTAGGACTTACAAAGGTCTGTGGGGATGACTGGGACCTTGTAGACGGAATGACGTGCGGAATCAAACTTCACAACTCCAAAGAGTTATAAAGCAGGTATGTTTATTACGGCGCCGGGTGCAAGGGGGATAGCTCCTCCTAGCTTGCACACAGTATGTTGCATTAACTGTCCTTTATATGGTTCTGCAGTGTACATATTTATTATTATAGGCTGGGTTAGTATAACTAGTTCTAAGAAAAGGCGGGATATTTTAATTATTTTTAAGAATCTATTATCATAGGGTCCCTCCTCCTGGCGCACGCGTACTGTCGTCTGGTGGTCGTCTATTGGGGTCTTTTGGAGGAAGATTCATAGTCTTCTTCACCGGGTACCTTCGCCTTTGGCCCAGAATGTTGAGTTGGCTGAGCTTCAGACTGCGAGGCCGGTTTCAACCAGATGGTCACTGAGTGTATACATTCAAGTTTCTGTTATCTACCCAATTTTTGTAACTTCTGCTAACAATAGGGTTACAGTGTCTTTGCCAAACATTCTATTATGCTTGCAACAGCATCTATGCTATCAGAGTTGCTAGCTACAATAGTTTATGCTAACAATTACCTATTTGTTCTCTAATTCAAGTCCCCCCTTTTTCTTTCCCATTTGCAAATTCTTTTGCTATATAGCACCCGGAAAGATAGGGCCCCTCTCCTGGTAGCCAATAGCGTTTAGTGTGTGATGTAAGCAGACGGAAGTGACGTCATAAACCCAAGGTATATATTGCTGTGTTACCTATCAATAAACGCCATTTGCCGTCCACCACATTGGTGTCTGTGAGCTGATGGCCCGAGCGGCCCAGGGTCGGTCGCCGTGCCGTTCCTGAACCAGGTCGCTGCACCTTATGAAGGCAACAGGACCTAACACAACAACATGGGAGACAGCGTGTTTGGCCTGTTCAAAAGTGGCTTTTTTGTCATCTCCCCATACAAATTAGTTCTTCTGTTTTGTTAAATTATTTGGGGTGTTTTGCCCCAGGAGAACGCTGATTCTTTTTGGATCCCAACAGAAAGGCACTAACACTCTCAGGAAGAATTAATAACCCAGAAAAGGTAATAGCAAGTTATAAAATCTTGTGTTTTGTCTGATGCTGGGGACCCAGACATGATACAGCATCAGATGGACTTCTGACCGAGGCACTACATATATATATTTATATGTGTATATATGGAGAGAGCAAAAAAAAAAATATAAAGGAGTGTAAAAACATATCTATATTTTTTATTTATACCTAGATACAATTTATATATGTATATTCATATAAGTGTGTATATATACATCTATAAAGATATATAATATACATTATATATATATCCATAAAAGTGTTGGTATAAAACATGGTTTAGTAAGAGCTAATGAAATGAATAGTTGACATTTAAATGCCAATAGAAAGGAATTAAAGTAAAAAGTGGGCATGGGGGCTGTCACTTCACAAAGATGCTGAACAGGCTTTAGCATGGCTGGGGAGGGGGGAAGATCAAGAGGGCAGGGGGTGTCACAAGGGCGGGGGACATCAACAAGTTAGAATGTGCCTGAAGGCTACAGACCCATCATATGTGCCCTGTGCAAAGGAGAGACCGGTCCTGGGAGCTGGACCAAGAGGCCCCCCAACCTGGTCCCAGCCCAACAGCATGGCCATGCAGTGTACCTGCGGCAAACTTTGGGTTTTGCACGGTGCTGCAAGACACAGGCAACACTGGCGGTGAAAATGGAAAACCAGAAGAGAATGCCAGCTTCAGAAGACCGTGTGCCTGGGGACAATAAGGAAAAGCCACGCAGGCATTTTCCAGTAAGACCACACGAAGCAGAAGAACTGGCCATTTCAGTGAAGCCACCGAGGCGAAGGGCTCCGGAGCGGAGGATCGCGCCGGGGGACCCTTCCTGAAGCGGCAAAACCGCGGCAAAAACCGCGAAGGCAAAAGCGCAGGGGGTGAGAGGGTGCCCCAGCACACCCCCCCAGCCGGAGGAGGGAGCCCCTGACGAGCGGCAGCTCTGACCCAGGGTGGGGGGGGGCAGGGGGGGGGGCG